AAATATTATATATATTTAGGATGGCTACTTTACTATGGCTCTGAAACAACTACAAACAATAAACAATCAATCGCTAGCATACAACCTTTCTAATTCAATTTCTGTAGAATAAAACAGATTAATGATTGTATGTACAATCTCCAAGCACATTGAATGTTCTAATCAACTAGTACAAATTAATCTAAGATTCCTTCATTGATGTAATCATTTAAATGTACAATCATATTTAAAAATTGTATGGACTTTTTCCTTCATTAATATCTCATCACTATTTCAAAATGGGCAATATAATCATTTCGATTATCATATTATTTAAAGTAAATAACAGTCAATGAGATGCATAAGGCATGAATATAATAATTTTAAAAGTATAAAATCAAAACTATGCGTTCACTAACTCTAATAATATGTATTGAATAAATTTCAAAAACTATTAGACCTCTTACTACAGCCAAAAATATTGTCCAAACAATTTTACACATACTGAATGCTCAGAATTATTGAACTATATGAATATTAATTAAAATTCATTATCAAATCATATGGAAAAAGTCATTTTTATATAGTATACTTATTATAAAATAATTCACATTAAAAATATTAATGAAATTATATAGGTACAATTATATCACGTCAAGTATACTATATATAACGAAAGGAAAACAGTTATTAAAGAATATTATTATTACATTTATCAAATTATAAGTATTTCCAAGCATTCCCAATGGACTGATTTCATATCGCATTCACAATAATCTATATTATAGATTAATTTTTATATGTATATAAATTACTATATAAATCACTATATCACTCTCTGACTATCTTGTATTATTGTACATGTTACGCATACATTAAAATATAGGTCGAAATAGTAGAAGAATTCCAAGTGTGTAAATTTATGTATATGCAATCTTGAGCATAAATATACACACACGTTTCTAATTATTTTTCTTATGCTAATGTAACTACATAGTCAAACCTAAATCGTAAAACTGAATTCAAAAGTACATTTACATATCTTTCTTTTAATATAATATATACAATTATTACTGACATTATTTGCAAACAATTATAATTTTAAAAATCAAATCTAAATGCGTATTTTATTTTTGTATCTTCTTTAATATAGTGTTATAACATTTATGTTGCAAATTACATAAAATATTTATGATTTCAATGTACTAAGCATGTTAAACATTTGAAATAAATGAATTTTGTAATAGTTGATATGTACTTTGTAATATATGTATATATATGTATATACATACATATACTTAAAAATAAAAAAACATTAATAAATTTTTAATTTTTTGCGTATTTTATGCATGTACATAATATAGATGCATTTTAGTAGCTTGAAGAAAAACAAGGAAAGTTTATATTTATATATGAAATCAAATTTTTTCAACTACTTTTCTTATTACTGCTTCGCTAGAAAAATATATTACTACTTTCTTTTTTATCAGGGATTGACCAGCAATCTATTTCCAAACTTGCATAAAAACACAAAGCTAACAGAAATTCTAAAACATATGTATATACATATATTAACATTTCTATAGTTGAACATAGTTTACTACTTTATTATAGATACGCATATAACACATCTACGAAACATAAAAAGCAACATTTTAAACTGGATATTATGAACCTTAGAAATATAACTTATATATATATATATATCCTCATCTAATATTTTTTAAATAGAATAAGAAGTAATATAGAAAATTTTGTAAATATTAAACAGTCTTTTGGGCATCTGGAATTATCGTATTTTAAGATATTATCTTTAGTTTTCATTGCTTGATGCATATTAATTTTAATATTATAAAAAAGAAAAAATATATTTCTAATTTAAATGAAATACAATATTTATATCAATTCAATATAGTACATTTATAAATTACAATAAAATTTTATCTATACCAACTATTGCACTATGTAAAATGTTACTATTGCTGTATAGAAAAAAAAGTAAAATATAAACAAACAATATATAATATCAAAAGAAATATTTACTATTCAATTTAAATCAAAATTGCTAGGATATATAATCATTCAATAAACCTTATAATACTTTTTTTTAATTACAATTCCTTTAAAATAATAATTTTACTATGAAACATATATTTGATTATACCTATAAACATAAAGTATATTCATATTACGTATACATATATATAGTTATCTTCCATTATCTTTTCATTTAATAAAAATGCCAAAGAGAGACATTAATTATTACGATCACTTTTTTCCATTTTGTATAAAAGCAAATATGACATTTCATGTATGATTAGATATATATAAGTATATTTACTTACTGCCTCATTTTGTCATTCTGCATTTAAAATAAACGGCAGTTACTAGCATTATATATGGCAGATAAATATAGTACAATTACAATAATTATAGTTACAAGTAAAGCCACACTCTGGAAGAAACATTCCTATCATCCTAGTCTGTGACAAACACAGATCTGTTTATGGCTCTGATTGCAATCAATAGGAGATTATAGCCTTTTGAGGAACTAAAAATATAAAAGTTCATGTACTCTTCCTGTTTATTTGTTTGTCTTTTTTTCTCTTTTTTGTTTAATATAAAATAAAAAAATATAATATATATATATAACAAAGACCTACAAACTATTTTTGAAAATCACTATATGCATTGCTTACATTATAAAAGAAAATAAAGATTTATATATCCCGAATATAATAATAAAACTCATGATTTACCAGAACTGCAACATTTAGAACAATTAAAACAGCCAGTATGCTATCTCTTGATAGACCATGATGTTCTATTACTACCTCCTGGTCCATTACCCATTATTTGATTTTGAAGCTCCGTTATTGTTTCTCGTAATACTTGTTTTTCTTTAATAAGTAATGCGATATTCTCTTGCGCAGAATTGTAATGAGTTTTAATCATATCTGACTCTTCTTTTATACGTAATAATTTTGCATTCTCTTCCGAAAGTCTTTCTAAAGTTCCAAGACGTCGTTTGAGCTCTTCGTTATCAGATTTCAATTGTTTACTTGTTTGTCTTAAAGAATTCAATTCTATTTCACGCTCTTCGTCTTTAGAAATTTGATTGTTACCACTTGGATTTAATTTATGGGAATTACTCTTATCCAATATAGTTACTGTAAAAATGAAAAATATTATTTTTAATATATTCATATATATATTTATCATAGAATAATAATGTGTTAGTAAAAAAAAAGAAAAAATTTACTTTTTAATACATAGACATCATGTGTCATATTATCATGAGGTAAAAAATCAAATTACTTTTGATATTCTTAAAATATAATTGTTGTCTAGCTCGTTCTATCACATGCTAGCTAAATAAATAAAATAAAAATTAGATAAAATACTATAACAAGCTATTCTTGTTTAATTTTAATATTCATGCTTGTATATTTTGAAAATGATAAAATGTTAGTTTATAATAATTATATATATTAAATAAAAGATATAAAAATATTTAAAAAATAATATAATTATAATCAAATGATGTTATTATTTATATTCATTTTGTAATAATATTTCAAAGAAGCTTCTATTGAGTTCAAATTTAAAATAAATATTAATTTATATATATATATATATATATATTTTTATTTTACTTGAAAACATGCTTGCTAATAGTGCAAACCTATTAATATATATTTTTATATATTATGACTAGATATATACAGATATATAAAAAACTAGCCTAAGCTGTGCTGAAGTAAGCAACAAAAATTAAAGCTGATTTTCTAATTGTGTTATACCAATGCTCACATTCGAAAGGCCTTCTGAGTGCACTGGACAATTACGCAATATATAATATCAATTTTTTGAAAACAAAATTCTGCCACTTGCATATAATATATAAACCTACATAAAAATAACATTATATATAATTAAGCATATATTATTTATTTACAAAGTTCACTGGGGTATATACATTATATTATACTCATGAATGATAAACTAAATATGAAATAATGTCAATATTATAACAACATAAAAATTATATATGCGATAGATTGCAAGTGGCAGTAAAAACTTATTCTATGCATTAGTTTATGCTTTTTTAACTTACCAATTGGTTCAATATTAAAGGCACCACTTAAATCCCTTCCTATTCTAAGTTTTGATATATTTAATTGTATGGGAATTGGACCTGGTGATGTTATATTGGTTGGAGGCCGATCTTCATTCAAATGAAGAAATATTCTTTCCAGATATATCTAAAATAAATATAATCATTTATATAATATCTTTGAATATAAAAATAATTTGAATAATTAATAAAATATATTAAATTACCTGCATTGGAATAGGTTTAGGTATAATTTCATCCTCTGCTAAATCCGCTAAACCTGTAACAGAGCTCATGGACAGTGTCATAGTTAAGTCAGTTACATTAATTTCCAATTTATCTTCAAACAAATCCATGATGCTCTGCTTGTCCAGTAAATTAATATCATTGGCTTGCTCTTTGATTATTTTATTATCTTCCAATGAATTATTTTTAATACTCTGACAAGCTTGGAACAGTCTCAATGAATCTTCTTTATTTTTTAAATCGTGGTCTAAACGTAGTTTGATGCACGTTCTACAATCCGAATCTGATGGTAGTTCGGTCCAACCTCTTGATCGAGAGCTGAATTTAGTCTAGCAAAAAAATATAATAAATCAGATTGGTGCAATGAGTACTTTTTGTTTATAAACACTGATTTTTCCTTTCTTATATAATCCTAATAATAAGTTTGCTACATTATCATAAAACAAATCAATTAATAATTTAAACAGTTCAAAAATAAGCACATCTCTTCAAGCATAGTAACACATAAACTTACATCGATTAGCACAATCATATTATTATCGCATTAAAACATACACCTGAGATAGAACAGAATGTAATTTTGTAAAGCATAAGTTAAAAAATATGAGAAAGTTAAAGAAGAACTAAAGCATAAGATAAAAAATACGAGAAAAATAAACAGCAATGTAAATAAAAAATTATACAATAAAGACTATTTTATACTTAAAAATTTCTTATCCATATACATTGATTAAAATTACATATTATGTAAATAATCTACATTTATTTCAGCACCACAAGCATAATAAACATTTAAACTTTTTTGTCTAACTAATTTAATATCTAATTATAATTCGTATATATTTTCAGCTTCTTAAAATGAATTTATAAATAAAGAATACAAAAATTCAAATTCATATTACCATATATTCTTATGAAAAAATTAACATGCACTTTTAAATATTTAAAATATGTATGAGAATATTCTGCCAATACCTTTCTCTTGACCTGCCACAAGTGCCACATTAAAAACATTCACAAGAGAAGGAGAGACGCGAAGGAGAGAAGCATGCAAAAAAGTTAAAAGACAATATTTATATCAATATGTATTTAAATACATGAGTTTATATAATAGTATAAGACATGATAGTGTGTATTGCACACAATAACTAAACATTGCATATGAATCTACGCAAATGCATTGTTTCTTATATCACTTTAATTCATATAGAATTATTATCATATGCAATTTTTATTAACGAATAAAATATTCGAAATATAAATGTTAATTAGATTAGTTAAATTAGCAATGAAAAATAAATAGATCATAATTACAAAGAAATATATGTATATTAAAAAAAATATATATATATAAAAAATAAAATTATTCCAAAATTATGTTTGTAAAAATTGAAAAAAGTGTTTAAGCTTTGACTAGAGAAAATGTTAAAATTATATACTTATGCTTATACCCACTCAATTGAAAACATACATTCTTGTGCATAATCAGAAATAAATGCGCATATTGTTTAAATTAAAATGATATGTATATCTTACCTGAAATTCGTCCCATGGTATAGATGAACATTCATTATTTTTTATATTAGACACTTGAACTTTTATTGCTGATGAGTAACCAGAAGATTGTGTAATAAATTCTACTTTGGATAATTTAAATGTAGTAACAGATATCTATAAATAAAATACATAATGATGTAATAAACAATAATATTATATATACAGATACATATAAGATAAAGTAGGAATATTTACTATATCTTTTCTTTTACAAACGCTGTCAATAGATTTTTCACTTTGTGTGTCTGGAGTTTCTTCTACAACTTCGCTTGCTTCTTCCACAGCAGTTATTCTAATGTTATTATCAACCGCAAATATTCCATCCGATTTCTCTTGATCTTGAAGAGTAATTAATGCATAATTTTCACTATCCGAACTTAAATCACTCCTCATAGATACAGTATCGCTACTACCATCCTCAGGAGATGCTTTTAAAGCAGAATCAATGGACGTCATTAAATTACTAAATCCTTTTCTCATAGAAGATAAACCAACGTTAAAATTATTTTGAATGAAAGGTGTATTTGATATCAAATCTGGTTTGTTAGGTTTTTGTATAGCATCTCCTCCTTGTTTTAATGATAAACTTTCCTCTTCTGTAATCATATGAGGTTTTTCATGAGCGATACTTGTTTGCACATTTTCACGTTTATCTGTATTGCCATTCTGTTTAAATGTAACAATAGGTTGTTCTATTACAACAGGATGTGCAAAATCCATTGACATCGATGATATTTCACTTTGTGGTGTTTCAACATCATTGCTTGTGTTCATTTTCTTAATACTAAAATCAACCTTTGCACTGACTTGCGTAGAATTGTGCCAAGCTGAAGATGATCCAGCAAAATCATCTGCTATACTAGATGAATCAGGTACAACGGATTCCAAATCTCCACCAGAATTTTCTTTTCCAGGTGTATGCGAAGGCATTACAAATGTCACCTCTATTTGTGGTATTAATGCACCAATTATTAATGAACCACCAGATTCAACATTCAATATCTTATTTGAATCAATAGCTAAATACGTTGTCAATTCAGATAAAACTTCTGACAATCTTAATAAAAAAAGATATTGATAATGATTTATTTGTACGCTAACTAAATTGCTTATATATGCAAGTCCATGAATATCTGCAGATAAAGTGTTTTTTGTTTCTGTTACTGGTTCTAAATTCATATGACACCAAAATGTTAAAGGAAATGCATCGAAAAATGGTACTGGACGATTCTGTCCTACTGCCCTTGCACCAAAAAAGTCACCCCAAACTGGCTCTAAATTGCAACACCATACATCTTTCGCTTCTGTCCATAAAAATTCACGATGTAATTGTCGAATTAATTCGTTCACCGAATTACTAGTAAAATTTGATGGAGCAGATCTAATATTATCTGTACCTGTACACAAAAGAACAACAAATTTATTAAGAAATTAATTTTTGTATAAAAGAATATAAAAAAGAGAACTTGAAAAAAATTACCTGCACAATGCGCTAAAAATTTATCAGTTACAACATGAAAATCATTCTCTTTGCTTGGAAATTCAGCTCCGAAAAACATTTGACCCATTTGAAATGTATTTAAACATTGTGCTAAATCAGCTCTTGAAGATCTTTCCACTGATCGAACATTTGTAATTGATGCTCTAGAAGTCTGAATATGTAGGGATTTAGGTCTATCTTTTTGATTAGGATAATCTTGCTGATTTTCAAAAACTATCTGAAAGTAGTTATTAAAGCAAAATATTAGAATTAAAATATTTGTTAAAAAATATATATTAAAATATAAAAGACTTACTCTTGGAAGAATAGCTTCTATCTTGACATCAAAATACATCATATTTTTTAAATTTGCTGGTTCATCCTTTTTCATTAGCGAATGGTGCAGATTTAATAGAAAAGAATTAAACCAAAGGCAGGAGCATACATCAAAGTTAACTTGAATTGGATTTACTTGCACATAAAATTTTGGCGGTGGTACTGCAACAAATGAAATGTATAAATTGGTTGTACATAGTTGTTTTTACATTTAATTATATAATGTTTGCAAAATCATTTTAATAATTAATAAAATAAAACAAATAAATATATTTTTATGCATTTACGTATTCTTACATGGAAAAGTTATATCTCCGGGATAATAATAGTAGGTAAATTCTGCATGAAGAATAGTTAAATCTTCGGGAAGACAGAATCTATCTCGGTCACCTAAACAAAAATATCGATTTAAATATAAAATGTATGGTTTATATTTTTTATATATATATATATATAATATTCATTTGTAGTTAACATGCTGTGCATGCTGAATAATCCCAAGTAAAAATATAGTTTATCTAACAAAGTTGATAAGACATGTTTTATTGCTCAATGTTACTTGTATGCATAAATTACTAATGTAATGAAGCGGCTCTGATATGATAACTAGAAAGAACATAGTAATGAAATAAATGAAATTTATTTATGATCGTATATATTAATGTATTGTTTAATTAAATTATTTTATGAAATTGTAGACTAAGTCAATGTATATATTTTTGTAATTACAAAAGCAAATTAATTTTGTAGTAAACTACCTTCTGAGTGTAACACTCAAATGTTACATAAAAAACAAGCACACAACATTTACTTGGTATTATACCTGATAGACGTTTTTTCCTCGTTTGAGCTATATAATTACCAAATAAAATAATTAATAATGCACTTTCAAAACTAAAAACTAGAATTCTCATAGAGCATAATAATGTATAAACTGTATAACAAAAACTGCTCTCGTGTTTTTCAAGAAAATTTAAAAATCCAATGCTTTACATCAATTTATTCCATATTAAAAAAAAATAATAATAATAATAAAAGCCTGAAACATTTAAAAAAAAAAAAAAAGAAAAGAAAGAAAGAAAGTAAAATAGTAATACCTGTAATAAATTCCTTTGGTACAGACTTGCGTGATGAGGTAGTAACTTTGAACAATGTAAAATCATCAATTCTAATGATAATACAAGTTGTCATTAATTTAGCAAGCTGTTCGAGAACATAATTTTTCACTGGATTTCCGCTAGAACCTTGAAACTTTTTCTGTTCTTGAGATCCTACATTTGCACCCTGTGATTGACTATTTTTTTCCAAAGTTTCTCCAGAACTTTTTGTAGCACTGCCTATATCATTTGAAAAAAATAAATATTATAATTATAAATATATTATAAATTTTGTCACTACATAAATATACATGAGCATTCAAACCTGTAACATTTCCTTGACTTCTTGTTAATGGAGAATGTTGTGTTCTACCAGAATCAATCAAATCCATAAATTGGCTTCTAAAAGAACTCAACGATTGTTGTAACCATTGACTATGAGGTGTAGCATTTTCTCTATATTTAACCCAATCTTTTCTATCAGCCATTGCGAGATGATACGGATAATAATCAATATAGAATTTAACTAATGATATTTGCAGAGCACCACCATCCCTCAAATCAGGATGTAATGACCTACCTCCTATTATGTAAATGATATTAATATGTTACAGATACAAATTATTATCTAATATAATAATATAATTTTTAACTCACCACCAACATCATCGCACAAATGAAGATCGATTCTTTGAGACCAAAAGTGATAAGACGTTTCCACAACATCATATTTTGAAAATAATTTAGATATTGGCGTATTAAACTGATTTTTTGTTCTACTTTGTTGAGAAATTTGTGCTTGATATTCTGGTAAAACCTTGAAAAATGAAAAATACATAAATATTTCTTTATATTCATTATAAAAAATATCTTAAAGAAAACTTCATGAGAAGTAATGATAGTGAAACACACCTCTAACTTTCTTGCTGCTTTTGTTTTTCTCTCCAACATAGTTGCTTTTTCTATAAGACCTCCTAAAGAATCTATGAAATGTAATGCTGCTTTTAATTGAGAGTCTGTTAAAACCCATAAGAGATCATCTAATATGAGTATCAGTCTTGAACCCATGATAAAGCAATCTAATAAAAAATAATTATTTAAATTATGTACAATTTTTAATTAGCATTGTGAAATATTAATAAAACGTGTCACAATATATTTCACCTGATATTCTTTTCTTTATAGTAATTAAACATCTCGCTTGGTTAGTAAGTAAACGAAGAGGCGTTAAATTAGTATCTTTAGTACTTTGAGCTTCTATTCTTACAGTCTGCCATTCTAATTCCTTAAAAATCAATAACTGCCCACGATCTGGATCTTTTAGTCTTGTAGTTCTTAAGTCACAACGTTGCCATGTAGCTGATTTAGATTCAACGACAATGCGATTCATCTATATTTTTTAATCAAGATTGTTATATTCCATAATTATCACATATACAAATTATATACATAAATATAATTACCTGTACAGATGCAATAAAAGCAGGACTTTTAAAAGTAACTGACACTGTATTAACATTAACCGTAATGCCATCGATGACTTTATGAATAAGAGAATATTTTGTTGGACCTGCGTAAGATGATAGCCCTTGATTGGAAGACATATTCCTTAAGTCTTCACATGTTTCTACTTCTATATGGACTTCATCCAATTTCTACAAAAAAATAATCAAATTTTGTCATTTATAATATATATATATACATATATATAAATTTAACTAGTATAAATAATATATATTACCAACAAAATAGGAACACTCTTTAACTTAGTCCATTGTATACGAAAAGAAACTTTATTACACCAAGCACTTGTTAATCGTAACCATGATGGTAATTCTAATAAATCGGTTAGAACTATTTCATCTAATTCTAAATTAGTTAACTCTCCTTCTCCCTTAAACGTACTCAAATTTATTTTATCAGCTGATAGATTTTTTGTAAATCTGTAAAACATAAGAAAAATTAATCAATTTTTATTTATATGAAAAACTTAAAAAGATTTAAATGATTTTATCAATCATTTAAATCAGGTGAGTCCAAAATTATTGAACAAAAAAGAAACAAATTTATATTATCCAAATGATTTATGAAAAATAAATACAATACTTCATTATCAACAAATATGATTCCTAAATAAATATATATAAACAAACATTGATTTGAATGTGTAAAACATTTTCAATTAATGTGTTTTTTTTCTATCATAGATCAAAGGTAGAACGATTTTATCTAACATGATATTGAAGTTTGTAGAAAATAATGTAAAACATGGTCTTGTCAATACCTTGATAAATGTTTAAGTAACTGATTTTTAATAATCGACACCATTTTTCGGGTTTCTAATTAACATCTATAATGATTAACACGTCTAAACATGGTTAGTTTGACACATGGAGGAAAGATTAAAGAATTCTATGCCAATAACTATCATGACCATAGACTACTCTTAGAAGACATAAGATCCTCTTTCATAAAAATTAATTTTTAAATATGTATAATAACACGTAGTTACGCTCCTTACAATATTTTCTTTTTAAATCAATAAATAATTCATAATTTACACATTACATTAATAAAATTTATGAATAATAAATTAAAATAAATAAATATTTATATTTTTTTTCTTCCAAACGTAATTTTATATGCAAACGTGTTTAATACATTTATTCGATATTATATATAGCATACACACACAACACACACACTTAGTTTAAAGATTAAAAAAAAATTGTTCGTCATTGCCACGTTGAAAGCAAACTCGTTTACAAAATTTTAAACTGATACGGCAATGCAATTGGTTAATATGTATTGTCATTTATTGCTATTGGTCTTACTTTTACTATGATTAATATTTGATTTAATATTCTACGTGTAATGATCTATATAAAAATTATTGATCATTGAAAATTTCGACTTTTTTCATTTAATAAATAAATTTAACAAATAACAAATATACATTAATGAAAATTAGTGAATAGTTTAATATTTTACAAATAGCACACCAGAGGGTGCAGGGTAATTAAATATGGTGGATAGCACGTGCTGGACCGTATAGATAACCTCAACAATTTAATTTAGTTTAAATATTTTTATATTGAATATTAAAATAGAAGTGTTTAACAAATATATATTAATGAAAATTAGTGAATAGTTTAATATTTTACAAATAGCACACCAGAGGGTGCAGTGTAATTAAGTATGGTGGATAATACGTGCTGAACCATATAGATAACCTCAACAATTTAATTTAGTTTTATTAAAATATTTTTATATTGAATATTAAAATAGAAGTGTTATAGTTATAATAATAAAAATGGCTAAATCACGAGCAGATAATAAAGCTCCTCGGAAACAAGGTTTTAACCGTTCCGGCCATAGTATGAACCCTGAAAGACCAACTGAAGGGTTAAAAGGTGTTGCTAAAGTTAGAACTAAAGCAACAATAAAAAGATTACAAATGTATCGTAATCAAAAACCTAAACGTAATCGTGTAGGTAAAATTATTAGTCCAGCACCGTTTCAAGGTTGGCATGCACCTGGTACTATGTCCCGCGTTGAACCTTCTCAAAGATGGTTCGGTAACTCTAGAGTAATATCTCAAAATGCTCTTCAGAAATTCCAAAGCGAATTAGGAGCTGCTATGAGTGATCCTTACAAAGTAGTAATGAAACCTACACAATTGCCTGTAACTTTACTTCAACAGAAGGCTGCAAATGCAAGGGTACATTTGTTAGATACAGAAAGTTTTGAAAGCGTATTTGGTCCAAAGAAACTAAGGAAACGACCGAATTTAGCCATTGCAACTTATGATGAATTACAAAAATCAGCTGAAGAGAAAGAAGAAACTTATAACAAAGATAAAGATTCTAAAGATTACGATTTGATTCGTGAAGATACTGGAATACGCGACATGCAAAGGGATTGGGTAATGGCAGCAGGACAAAGCAAAAGAATTTGGAACGAACTATATAAAGTTATTGATTCTTCCGATGTAATATTACAAGTATTAGATGCAAGAGATCCTATGGGAACTAGATCTCCTCCTGTAGAAAAATATTTAAGAACAGAAAAGCCACACAAACATTTAATGTTCATTTTAAATAAAGTTGATCTTGTTCCAACTTGGGTGACACAAAGATGGATTGCAATTCTAAGCTCAGAATATCCAACAGTAGCATTTCATGCTTCTTTAACTAATCCGTTTGGTAAAGGTTCTCTTATTAATTTACTGCGTCAATTTGCTAAATTGCATGTAGATAAAAAACAAATTAGTGTAGGTTTTATTGGATATCCAAATACTGGAAAAAGTTCGATCATTAATACATTAAGATCAAAGAAGGTCTGTAAAGTAGCACCAATAGCAGGAGAAACTAAAGTATGGCAATACATCACTTTAATGCGTCGTATATATCTTATAGATTGTCCAGGTGTAGTTTATCCATCTAAAGAAACTGATACAGAAAAAGTTTTAAAGGGTGTAGTAAGAGTTGAACTAGTTCAAAATCCAGAAGATTATGTCAGTACAGTTTTAGAAAGAGTAAAGGCTGAATATTTACGTAAAACATATAAGATCGAAGATTGGACTGATCATATAGATTTTTTGGAAAAATTAGCTCGTAAAAGTGGAAAACTTTTGAAGAAAGGAGAACCAGATATAACGATCACAGCACGAATGGTTCTTAACGATTGGCAGCGTGGAAAGTTGCCATTTTATGTTGCACCACCTGGTTTTGAAGAACCTTTAGCTAAACCTACAACAGAAGAGGAGAATATACCTACTGAAAATGATACAGCCACTATTACTGAAACAGATGAACAAGAAGATCAAAGTATACCATCTAAAGATTTGACAAAAGTACAATTAAATGTAATACAAGATTTTAGGAAAATTAAAGTAGGATTGATGTACACAGGTGATGATGTTAAAGACATTTGTTACACTCAAAACGAATTAGAACAGTTGAATTGTAGCAATAATGAGATGGATGCTGAATCTTCTCTACCAGATGTTAGTGACATAACTGATACATTAAATGAATCGCAACCAGATTCTGAAGAAAATTCTTTAGAAAAAGAAGATATTAATAAAGAACATAATATTGAAACAATAACAAATACAACTAATCCTGTTATGGAAGATAGTATAAATGAAAGTAACGGTAATTGTTCCGCAACTGAAATAAACACAAATTCTTCAGAAGATGAAAGAAATTCAGAAGATAACATTAAACTACCTATAGAAAAAGATAATCTAATGCAAAGTGTATTTGATGTCATTGAAGATGATTATGATTCCAGTGACAGCGAAATGTTCAGTTCAAAAGCATTTTCGAGTAGTGGTATATTCATAGTGTCGTCTAAAAAAGAAAAACAAAATAAGATTAATCATGTTAAATTAACAAGCAAACAAAGAAGAGCTATAGAAAGAGCAAACAAGAGAAAGAAAATAGGAAGCAATTTTTACGAAGTTACTAATGTAAAGAACAGAAATAGAGATAGAAAGGTTCCAAAAATAAAAAAATAAAAATACTACTTACATGTTTATTTATTGTACATTTGTAATACATTATTAAAAATATCTTTTTATTAAAATTCTAAATAATACTTTGAGTATAAATAAATCAATTATAATACTTTCAATTAATAATAATAAAAATAAAATAAAAATTCAATAAAAAAGATTAAAAGAATGGAAGGAAAAGTTATATAAAATATATTTTTAAAAAATGATTCGAATTGAATAAGTCAACATTTGAAAAAAGCAAATAAAATTTCAACTAAATCCAATCGCGTTTTATAAAATATAATATTACACCTTCTAATCTTTTAATAAACATTTCGTTACCTTCATAGTTTGCCATTACCTTTTCAATATTAGAATTATCTACATTGGTTTTACTTATATCGATAGTTAGCATTTTGAGCATGAAACATAAGTGTATAAACTCCATCTTGCAAATATCGAAAAAACCCTCGTCAAAACCTTTACGATTGTATGGTGTGATATCACAGTTCATTTTAATTAATACGGAAATAAAAGTATCGTAATATAAATCGGTTAATTCATCAAGATAATGTTCCCTAACATCGTCGTCTGTACTTGAATGTAAAAAAAACAATAACTCTCCGATCGGATTGGAATACATGTAATTTTGAAAATCGATGAATTTCACGTCATCCGCGTGACCATTTTCATCGCTATGAAACATCATATTGTTGACCCAAAAATCTTTGTGGATTATTGTAGCCCATGTTCCTTTTGGTTCAGCCAACCATTCGTCGAAAAATTTGTCGGACTTTAATACTGCAGCACATCTATCGTAATAAACTCGAGTAACTGGATTGTTGTCAATTTGTTTTAATATAGGTATATGAAACTCGGTAAATCCATCTTTTTCTAGTTCAGGACATTTACTTCCTTCTCTTATTATGTCATATTCATCAGGTTTGTTATGTTTCATTGCGATACCAAGGGCATGGAATCTAGCTAATGTACGAATTGCTAGCCTAGAATGATCTACATTGAGGCCTGCTTTTCAACAAAATTTATTTCAAATATTTTTATCAACAACAAAGGTTATTTAATGTGCTTAAACATATATATATATATATAGATATACATATCTGTGGATCTTATCATATTCATACTAATGATAATATTATGAAATATAAGATAAACGATTATTATCACGATCATTATAAGATACGGATAAAGAGCGTTTCTTTAATTTTTGATATTCGTACAATTTTATTTCAGTCGTAATTCTTTTTTCTTTTATTTTATTTTTTATTATTTATATATATATATATATATATGTATATACACACATTAAAAAAAATATTTATATCATATACTTGCCTAAATGTCTTTTACCAGTATAATAACCACGTGTTTTAAGATTCTCTAATAAAATAACAGCGTTATCATCAAAGTCAATATTAGGATCTAGAGATAAACGGAAACCATAAAATTTGGGAATAACATCGATTAATTCACTTTCATCAATACCAAAGTCTCTTTCTAAATCTCTATAATAGGGTATTAGGCGTTCATACATAAATGCTTCTTTTTTAAATGTGTAAGAACTTTTAAAAACTCGTCTTTGAAATTCGGTTGGAGGGGCCATTTTTGCAATCATATGAAGATTTTGACGTTCACTGTTTCCTTCTTTTTTAATTACAGCATCCACAGCCAAAATAGTACTCCCATAATTTTCTCCAGGCGGTAAAAAAGATGTGGTTGTGTAATTTTCAACAATCAATTTATCACCTAAAGTTAATCTTAACAATGGTTCCAATTCTCGTAATATTATTTCTTTTGTTTCCATTAACTCCGTTTGAGTCGCTTCCATGTTTAATTGTTAAATTAACAAAAGTTTTGATAAATAATTTGAAATCTTGTTATCTTGAATAATAAATTTAATAAGAGTAACGTTATTTAAAGAAATAATATTAAAATATTACTATGAAGTGTTACACAATTTGATTTAATTGTTGAATGTTGTTTCTCGCGTATCTTATCTAGGTTTTTACAAAACGATCCGAAACAAATGATCTGTTGAATGTGACTAAATCATTTCTGTACTTTTCTCAGGCAATAAAGTAATCTCTCACTAATCTCCCATCCGTTCTATCTTGCGCCAAACGTTATATAGATGTTAGAATGTTTCAACAATGATGTAATCATTATTCCAATGACGAATCACTTTCTGAATTATTATACATCCATTGTAACTAACTTTTTCTACTTTAATTCAATGTGCTATAGTATAAATTTTTTAACACTACATTTTGATAAAAAATATTATAATATATATATATTATATATATATTATACGTATACGTATATATATATTATATATATTATACGTATACGTATACGTATATATATATAGTACGTATACGAAGTGACCTACTTCTTTTCTCTTAAATTTGATCAGTATACCCATGAGTAAAAATAAAACAAAAACTCAAAATGACGGACCAAAGTTTCATGGATACAGTATAAGACACATTGACTATTCGATATGGTTTTGATATTCATTTTTTCATTATTTATTAATTATTTTCTTTTTTCTTTTCTTTTTTTAAACAATCGATAAATACATATATGTATTTGACAATGTGATAAAAGGATAAATTTATTTTATGAAAAATTGATATTAACAGTATAAAAATATTGCACTTTTTGTACAATTTAAAATTCTACATATATATAACATATGTATACATGTATGAATGTATATAGATGTGTGCAAATATGTATATATAATATAATACACATAAAAGAGGAATATATAAGTAAACAATTATGACGCAGTGTATTTGTCAAATATTTTACCATTATAGTCTGAACCAAAATTTCAGATCAATTCTTTCGAGTCCTTTTCACATATGAAGTCTTTTATATTACACCTTAGGGTATTGGTTATTGTATCAACGTAATCCATGGTTTGATTCTTCTATCAACTTGCTATGGATATCCCATAAATTCTGTAATAATAAAAGTACTATTGATTTAAAGTAATAAACTAATTATTGTATTCAAGATGTTTTATAGAGATAAATGCAGCTCCATTATAAGATGACGTATGACTGGCTTATGACGTAAAATTACGTAACATATAAAAGCGAAAGATTTAATTAATAAAAAATTGAATAAATTTAGTTGAAGAGATAAATATAATTACAAATAGAACCCTGGAATAACCATAATGCATTTATTTTTCTTCTAAATTAAGCTGAAAAATTTGATTACACATAAAATTATTTTTAACGATTATTATTAATAAAATTATTTTTAATGCACGTTAAATGATGAAACATGTAAATGAGATTCGTTTGTTACAATAAGAAACGATTATAGCGAATGTTATCTGATGAGTAATTAGCGAAGACAAAAAAAGCATTTAAAATCACCAATAATCCAGATTGGATGACTACTTTATCTCAAGGATATTTAAGCAAGGAATATTGTATGGCAATTATATATTAATGAATATGGGAATAACTACCATTTTAACTGTCATTTATTGAACGACGTGGTATCGTATTTCCATCTTCTTCGATCAATTTACGATGTACAGCACTGAGACCCTGGATAGTATACAAATTCAAAACTAAACTAGTTAAGTAATGAAATGGAGTTGCAGAAAGTAAAGTTAACAATGTATGTGAAATAATTATCTTGCAGTGATAATATTAAAACATTTATGAAATATAAAAATCATTTTATATATGTATGTACCTTAAAGTATTTAACTGTTTTTACACGCAATTCCAAAGTAGCATCTTCATCGCATATAATTAATGTACGTGGATGTTGTTGAAATGCAGATACTGTCCACATATGATTAACTCCTTCTTCTATTGCTTTATAAAGAGCAAACGCTTTATGAGATCCAGTAATGAGTATCATAACTTCTTTGGAATCCATAACAGTACCAACACCAACAGTTAAAGCCTGTTTAGGAACTTTGGAGATATCATTTCCAAAAAATCTAGCATTCGCTTCCAATGTATCTATAGCTAATGTTTTAACTCTAGTACGAGATGCTAACGAAGAACCTGGTTCGTTAAAAGCTATATGACCATCCGGTCCAATACCTATGTTTAATAATATTAAGAATAAATTCATATTATATAATAATAACTCTTGCTATAAATTCTAAAATTCATTCAATATAATTTTCACTATTTCTCGTAATAATACCTCCAATAAAAAGTTCAATTCCACCAGCTTCTTTAATATTTTTTTCAAAATCATCACATTCTTTTACAAGATCAGGTGCATTTCCATCAAGAATATGAACATTTTTGGGATCAATATCTATATGCTTAAAAAAGTTATTATACATGTAATAATGATATGATTCTGGATGATCTCTTGGTAAATCAACGTATTCATCCATATTAAAAGTCTTGACATATTTAAAAGATATTTTTCCAGCTTTATAATATTCTATTAACTTCTTATACATTCCCAGAGGTGTACCACCTAAATATATAGTAACAATAATAGTAATAGTAAAAATAATATAAATATAAAAAAATATAAGAAAAATGTAAATAATAGTTACCTGTAGGAAGACCAAGAACAAAATATTTATTTTCATTAGGTTCAAAATCTTTAATTCTTTTTAAAACATATTTAGCAGACCATTCTGAGACATAGTCTACTGTATCACAAATTACTAAACGCATTGTAATTCTTTATATGTTATACAGGTGATCACTGAGGAATACAAATAATAAGATTATATTGATGCGCTATAAAAGTTATCTATATATATATTTTTTTTATTAACATATTTGCTACTATACTGTAAAGAAGAGATTCCAAACACAGCCTAGAATTTATTTTTTGTGTTAATTATTATCATAACTGTATGACAGCTGTCAATGGAAATCGGTGTGGCACAGATATGTAGCATTGATAGCAAGCATGTTAATACAAATATATTTGTCTGTGCTATTATTTATATATCGTATTGTCAATTCTTTTTTATAAATATTAAAAAAGATAAAAAATATTGGAGATATAAAATATATAATCTGATAAATAATGGATGTTTTAACAATTAATACACATTATATATATATGTACTCAATATAGTATAATACAATATATTTATGAAAATTTCAGTGATAACAACGTGGCAATGATCTTTTATCTCTGATTATAAAGTGTATATCATTGCTTTGTTTTAAGGTTTATTAATTCTATTTTTTTTTTAGATAATATTTTGGATATAAAAAGAAATTTAATTTTTATATGTGAATAATAACATTCAAGTATAAAAAGATTTTTTAGGCTTTTATAATTATAAAGAAAGTTCTAAAACATATTATCTATACATAATTTGATAATATTAAATTTAGAGTAAATGAAATGCATATTTTATATCAATCCTTATATGTAACATAGTTTCACTTTTCAAAGGCCAACTTCTAAAATAATCTTCTAAAGATTACGTCAATTATAGGATGATATCTTAAATATATAAATAATAAATAATTGTAAAATTGTTTAAATTGAATTTGAAAATATAAACAAAATTGCTTACGAACCTTCCTTATACGTTCTTTCTACTAACTTTGTACTTCTCCAATCTGCCAGTTGTAAATCACTAAAAAGATATACTATTAATCAGCTGATAGTTGTAATAAAACTACACTACACTACTACATTAGCAGAAGATTACTAATAGATTGGTGAAGCAACGTAAGCAATAAATACGTGTGCTAAATGTTTCATTAACGCTACACAAAAGAAAATACTTGATATGAAATATCTACCAATCAAAAAAAATTAATTTTAATGACAACCACTGATTGGACTGACAAAATATAATAAAAAGAAATAAATAAATTTATTTATTTAATTAATATTACAAATATATTATAATATATGCATTTGCATAGATAAAATATTTTAGATCAGTCAATAGTAAAAATTTAAATGCTAGATAAAAGTGAAGTTCTATTTGAATTTCGTAGTCGACCAATGAGATGATCCTATCAATGAGTCCAATGCAATATGCACTTTAATTCGATGACATCACTCACGTGTTTAAATGAGGTTAGAATGATATTTTGGCGGGCAAATGATATTGTTAGTTCAGCAATACTTCCTTTCATTTTGTAAACATATTATTATTTTATTTTAATGTGATATAATTTAAGTTGTTCGTTTTTTATATTATACAAATATGTCAGATATAAATATCAACGGAATTGTTATTAATTTTCCTTTCAAGCCATATCCTGTTCAAGAAGAATATATGGCTAAAGTTATAGAATGTTTACAAAATAGTAAACATGGTGTTTTAGAATCACCGACAGGTAAATTTCAATTGTTTTGTCTCCCTTAAATTTATTATAATCTCTTGGTTTTTTTAAAATTACTTTTAATGTTATATTAATTTTAGGTACTGGTAAAACACTTTGTCTGTTATGTTCCTCATTAAGCTGGTTGATTACAAAAAAAGCTCAATTGCAAGCAGAAGCAATGGTTGGAGCTATCGAAAGATCTGATTTGAGTGGACAATTTTTTAATAAAATTACTAAAGGACTTGAGAAAGCGGCAGGAGTACCAGATAATGCTGCTTCTTTTGGTTGGGCAATGCCCAAAATTATTTATGCATCTAGAACGCATTCGCAGTTATCTCAAGCGATGAAAGAATTAAAGCGTACCACTTATAAACATGTGCAAGTATCGGTCTTAGGATCTAGAGATCAACTTTGTATTCATCCTGAAGTCTCTAAAGAATCAAACTCGTATAATAAGGTACAAATGTGCCAAGCTAAAGTTAAAAGTAAAACGTGTTTCTATTATTGCAATGTTGAAAAAAGGTATGTACTGAATTGATTTGTTTGTACATTGTTTTTCTTGTTTTTTTAATGAGAATAAATTATTTAAAAACATTTCGTAGAAAAGGTGAATCACTTTTTAAACAAGAAATATTGGATATTGAAGATTTGGTTTCAGCAGGACAAAAGATGAATTGTTGTCCATATTATTTAGCAAAAGAGTTAAACCAAAATGCTGATATTACTTTCATGCCTTATAATTATTTGTTAGATTCCAAAACGCGTAGAATGCAAGGAATAGAAGTACAAAATAATGTTATCTTATTAGACGAGGCACACAATGTAGAGAAAGTTTGTGAAGAGGCAGCATCGTTACAAGTAATGTATAATATAATTGAAAAAGATTTTTTGTCCATCATTATTCAAATGTTTTACTAATTATAACATATATTTTTATATTCAGATAAGCAGTACTGATATAGCGATGTGTATTGATGAAATAACTGCAGTAATGACAGATATTAGTACAGAGAATAAAGATAATGAAAGTGAAATTGATTTTTTATCACAAGATTCTGTAAATGCACAAAAAGATTTTACACCGGAAGATTTATGTATTTTGAAAACAATGTTTTTAGAACTAGAGAAAGCTATTGATGATATTAAAATTACAAAACGGGATGAAGGTGATACATTTCCTGGAGGATATATTTTTGAATTGCTTAGTAAAGCAGAGGTAACGTTTTGAAAATATAAATATTTCATATAATTATAATATAATTAACATTGATATATTTTTTTAGTTAACTCATAGAAAAACTGATATAGTGATAGAAAAACTGGAGAAGATCGTTTCCTATTTAGTTACAACTAATACATCTCCATTTGCCAGGAAAGGTAACGCGTTACAAAAATTTGCAAATGTATTAAGAATATTATTCAGCAGTGGAAATTCTCTGCTACATAGAGAAAAAGTTGAACAATGTTATAAAGTATATATTCAATTGGAGGAGCAAAAAAAGAATCAAAAAAGTGATGGATGGCAAACGAAAAAAATATCTCTCAAAAATGAAGGCAAAGTTATTAACTATTGGTGTTTCAGTCCTGGTTTTAGGTAACCAAATATCTTCATGTCTTACAAAAGTATATAATTATTAAAATATTATAATTATTACAAGTAAATAATTATTAAAATATTATTTTTTTGTTCTATAATAGCATACAACAATTAGTAGACCAAGGTATTCGTTCTGTAATTTTGACAAGCGGTACATTATCTCCTTTAAAACCATTCATATCAGAACTTGGAATACCAATAGACGTTCAGCTAGAAAATCCACATATCATAACTGGACAACAGGTGTGTATAGGTGTTCTTAGTCAAGGTCCTGATGGACATGAACTTAACTCTTCTTTTAATACAAGGTAATTCTATAATAATAATATATATTTATCTAATGTAGTAATACCATTTAATTAATATCAATAAAATGCATAATAGTTTTTCTTTCTAGAAATAATCCTAAATATATAGCATCTCTTGGTCGTACGATATACAATTTCAGTTGTCTTATTCCACACGGTTTATTAGTATTTTTTCCATCTTATCCAATTATGCAAAAGTGTAAGGATGATTGGCAATTTTCTGGTTTATGGACACAAATTAGTGAGAGTAAGGTAATCAAAAATGAAAACGATTTTATTTTCTATTGAATATAAATTTTTATAGTATTTTGCTAATTATTAATAATTTTTTTTTTCTTATATGTATTTCGTTTGATAAAACAGACCATATATGTAGAGCCAAGATCAAAAGATGGTTTTATAAATATTATGCACGAATATTATCAAAAAATACAGGATCCAACGTGTAAGGGTGCCATTTTTATGGCTGTTTGTAGAGGAAAAGTAAGTGAAGGTTTGGATTTTGCTAACGCGAATGGAAGAGCAGTATTAATAACTGGTCTTCCATTTCCACCTATGAAAGATCCAAGGGTTATATTGAAACAAAAATATTTAGAAGAAATGCGACGTAAAGATACACAGGTAATATTTTCAATAAGATAATCTTCATATTATTAAAAAAATATAATACCATTGGTATCTTATCACTTGATTTAGGTATTAACAGGACAACAATGGTATCAACTTGAAGCTTCTCGAGCCGTTAATCAAGCTATTGGTAGAATAATACGTCATAAAACTGATTATGGTGCTATAATTCTTTGTGATTGTCGATTCGAAAATCCACAATTTAAACAACAATTATCAGCTTGGCTTAGACCCCATATTAAAAAATTCTCTAATTTTGGAATGATTATTAGAGAACTCAGAAATTTTTTTCGTTATACTCAACAGGCTGTAAGAAATATATATATACATATCATAAATTTATATGTAATATTTATTTTTCTTTTCAATAATTTATTCATTTAGATATCATATATTTAATTTATAGTTTCCACAACCGAAAATGGCAATTAGTCAAGACAGTAATACTTTATCGTTACCTGCTGTTCCATGTTCTTTTGATACCTCATCTCGATCAATAAAACAACCAATATCTAATACTAATACTAAAACAGAATCAACTACGAAAGAAACGTTTAGTATCGATCAATATATAGATAAAACTGTGAAAAAACGATCTAATAATTCTGATAAGACAGAAACGGAGAGTATTTTTTCTAAGTTCACATCAACTAGTAAAAAGTCCGTGATAAATTTTAGTAATTGTAAATTAAAGGAAAGTAATAGTACTTGTACTTTAGTAGAAGATTCTCCTATTGAACATGTTGTAAAAAAAAGAAAAATCAAAATTATTTCTACTAAATATGATGCGGATCTTCCTGGTCCTTCAACTTCTAATCATGAAGAAGTAATTAATCTGGATGAATTTCCAGAAAAGACTGATGAAAGTAATAAGGAATTAGACAAACGTGAAATGGGTAAAGCTTATATTAAAAAGGTAAGTCGAATTTGTCGCTGAAAAAAGAAAAAAGCTGTACGTTTAGATATAAAAAGATTTATACGTAATTTATATTTTTGCAGGTAAAACAATCATTAACCGCAGAGAAATATGAAATATTTGGAAGAATTATTAAAGAATATAATAAAACTAGTAATTTGAACGATTTGTTAAAAACATTAGAATATCTCTTTCCTCTGGAAGATAAATTGCAGCATCTTTTCATAGGTAAGAAAATTAAAAAAACGTATACAAGATAACATTTAAAATTAATGCATATCATTGTTTTAATTTTGTATTTTTAAGGTTTCAAAACTTTCTTAAAAAAGAAGCATATTGAAGAATTTGACGAGTACATTAAAAAAATGAATAAATAAAAATAAATAAATAAGAAAAAAAAAATTAAACCATCCGAGGATATATTATGCTTTACAAAAGTAGATATATATAAAAAAAAAACATGTAAATGTATATAAAAGATATTGAAATAAAGTACAAATTAAATTTTTTTCTACTAAAAAGAAATTACACAATATAATATTATACGTTAATAATAATATTATTAATATCCCAACAACAACAATAAAAATAACAATAATTTAATATCACGCATTGTAAGTGGAATAATAAAATTGTATATAAAAATTAATCCGTTAGCGGATTGTACATGCAAGATAGATCAAGATAATCCTTGTGTATATGTGTATAATAAGTGTGCCGAATTTCCTGGGTTATTTTTCTGAGAAAATTTGTTGAAAACATCAAAATGTTTTCATTCTTTGCTGTACTACACATACATATATACCTATACTATACTCTTTTGATTTTTTGTATTCCAATCGCACGGGACACCATCTCACCACCAAACACTACATTGAGTATATTTTAGTGCTGTTCTCCTAAGTGCACGCTTCATAGATTCCATCCGAATGGTATCGTAGTGCCATATAAAGAACCGGATTACACGGTGTCCATTTCAAGGTA